CAGACTTACCTCCACTTCCTTCTCACTAGGGGATTCACTGTAGGATAAGAAGAAGAATCATGTGACACTCTGCAGCTTTAAATTCATACCTGCAGCTGATCACTCGAAGTCAAAACACTTACGGCTCGTTTTGCTTCGTTTTGTCTCCTTTAATGCCACCTGCAGTGGATGAACTCCCTGACAAGAGAAAAAAAAAAAAAAAAATCAAAAAAATCTTTCAGACAAAAGTTGAGAAACGACGTCCCCAAACCAACTTCTGAAAGTCTTTTGAGTTTCAACAGAAGCCACTGAGAAACATTTCCAGTGTTCAGCTCTTGTCAATAAAAGCAACTCAGGGTGTTTTGGGTGTGAGACAGCCCAGCTCTGCCACTTGTACCAAACCCCAAAAGTTACTTGTTTAGATGGTTTCAACTGGCATCTTATTAGCACAGGAATGGTTAATTACATGTTTTGGCTTGAGGATTTTACATGGCATGCAAAATCAGTAGCTTTTAGTGGGCCTCAAAGGCCAGAGGTGAAGGGACTAGAAGAGTGGAGATGTCAAAGTAAAAACAACATCCTGCTTGTCTATATTGCACATAGCACAGAGATGCTGCTTTACAAATCTTTGGGGAGAGCAGCTGTTCCAGAAGTGTTTCAAGCATCCCAGCTCCTTTGCAGCTCCTAAGAACTTTTCCCTGCTGTCTAGAGGAACAGAGAGCTGGTTGGACCAGTATCTGCAGAAATCAGATTCTGCATGACACCACTGTCCTTCTTTCCACTGCTAACCCATTTTGATCTCCTTAAAACAAAACCCCCTTGTAATTTTTGGTGTGGGACGGGCAGCTCCCTGCCCCTCTCTGCACAGCTCAGGTGACCAAGACTTGTGCCCCAGTGGGTGATGTGAGCGTGTTCAGCAAAAACCTCTTACCTTTCCTACTGGGAGCCACAGCTGGTGCTTCCTCACCCTGCTCTTTGTTATTTTTCTTATCCTGGTCCACCTCCTAAAGGCACAGCAGAATAATTACAGCAAGGGATCAGCCACAGCACCACTGGAGGAGGCCTGTCCCCTCCTTTGTCACAGCTCAGCCAGACCAGTTTTGGTGTCTCGCTGCCAAACAGGACTCTTACCAGGTCTTGCTTTAAAACATTTTGAGGTGCAGGTTTGTGTTCCTCCAGCGTGGGGCAGAATTCCTTTTTGAGGGGTCCTGTGGAGAAACATTCCCAAAAAATCAAATATAATGAATGAATGAATACAGTAAAATCCCACCAAGCTGCCAACACCCAACATATAACCCATGGGCTAACAGGGCTA